ATAGAATACTGCGCTTAGATAAGCTAAAAGCATAGCTATAGAATTTAGAGTAAGCTAATAAGCAATAAGATAGCAGTCTTTATTAGCATAGTACTGCAGTATTAGAGCAGGAAGGTTATAGCCTAGACTTAAGTATACTAGAGAAGGCTACTTAGAGAGAATGTTAGATACTATAAAATAACAAACTCTACGCTAAGCAAAGCTTAATAAGTTTTAATATAGAAGTAGTAAGTAATAAGCTTAGAGCTTATAAGTATTATTATTATCTAAAGATTACTATTACTAGAAAAAGGTAAGTCTTATATAAAGAAAAGATAGGCCTTACGCTAAGCAGAGCTTAAAAGTAGCTAAAGCGCTTAAATAGACTATGTTTTGCTTCTAAGTTTTATCTCTATAGTTACTTAAAGCTAAATAATCTATATATTATACTAGAGTATAAATAATAAGATTATAGATAAAGAGCTATAGTAATAACTACCTATGCAAGACAGATAGCTAGAAACAGTGCTAGAATATCTTTATAGAATAGGTAATCTAATATATAGACTATTCTATATTAAGATTTACTTTACAGCCTATAGTTTATATAAGCTTCGCAAAGAATAGTAATTATAGTTGTTATAATAGAGCTAGCATCTAGTTTATAATATAATGCTAGTAATAAGTAGTATAGATAGGTAGGTTTGTAGTTTCTATACTCTATATAAGAGAGATATAGTAAGATAGCTAAAAGTAAAAACAATATATATGCGTAAAAGATAATTAAATAGCAAATATTTATAAAAATAGATAGCTTAATAGCTAGTAGCACAGAAGTGCTTATTATTAACCTATTTCTACTTTAGCGCGTTACTGTTTTTAGAATTAGAATATCTAGTTTACACTGCTGTAGTAATAAGCCTAGTTTCTTATCTAGTATAATAGTTATCTAGTCGCTATTAGATAACTACTAACTAGATAAAATTTATTTAAAACTCTATCTATTATAGTGCTGCAGCTTATAATAAAGACTAAGAGGAGCGTTGCATAAGGCATTTCTAGCGTAATTAGAGCTATTATAGAGAGTACTAGAATAGTACTCTCTATAATTAGGCTAAGCTAACAAAGTCTCTATATACTTCTAAACTTAGTTAAGCTTAATTGCTAGCCTATTATCTACCTAATAAAAAGTATAAAGCTAGATTTAGAGAGTATTATATCTAATAGTTTCTGCCTTTCTTAGATATGTCTTAAGCCTAAGTAGAGGTACTTTGCTTAAATTACCTATTAAACTACCTAAACCTATACCTTAGAAGGCTAGCTAGAGAATTATTAGTAATAGAGCATATATAAGTCTATTTAAAGAATTAAAATGCAGTATAGGTTATAGCTACTCGCAGTTTTATAAACATAATAATAGAGAATATAGCTAAGAAGAACTCTAGCTATCTCTGCGTTTAATTTCTCTTCTGCGTTACTGCAGTAGCTAACATATATTCTATAAAGAATTATAAATTAACTTCTGCGCGCTGCAGTTAGAGAAACCTACTAACTCTTAGTACTATCTCTGCTATAACAGCGTTAAACTTCTCTTAATATTATAAGACTAAGGATAATTACTAATAGAACTGCTTAGTAGAAGATGCTAAACGCTTGTTTCTAGTGCTAGTAGACTAAGTCTATAAAGCAGCGTAGGATTAATCTACTACTAATAGGCTAAGGACTACTAAATTTGCTTCTGCCTGCTAACTAGGTAGTTAATAGCTTATAAGATACTAATTACTGCTAAAGCAGACTTAGTGCTAGAATAGCAGACTAGATTTTATCTCTACCTACTATCGCTATAGTAAACTTACTAGAGAGGCTAATAGTTAAATCTATATAAGAGTATATGTAAGAAGTTAGCTTAAAGCTCTCTAATTCCTCTAAGCTTGCGCTTATTTGTATGCTAGCTGTAGACTAGATAAAGGAAAATACCTTAGAAACTCTCTCTTTCTCTTTTAAGACGCTTAGGTATCCTTTACCTCTCTCTATAATACTCTATTAGAATAAACTAATTTTAAAGCTAAGTACTAATGCTACTACAGCGCTAAATTACTACTATAAGCGAAGCATATATTAATGCTACTTTAGTGCGTAGATAACTATACTGCGCCTTAATAACTACTATAAGCGAGGTATATAGCGATGCTACTTTAGTACATAGAATAAGTTTCTAGGTAAGTCTAGATTATATAGAGCTTAGTATTTAGATTAGTACTCTTTTTTATAAAAGTTTTTAGGCAAGTCTAGTGCAAAGAAAG